TCATTTATGTCAGAAGGTACTAACCATTTTACGGAAAAGGACCCTCTAAAGGAAGGCAAATTCGAATATTCTTCCTCTGCACAGGGAAAGAAGCGATGGCGATGTTATACATGATAACTATTGTAACAGGATTATTCAGCTACTGTAATACTTACTAGATATGTGTTTGTAAATTTAATACATTGTATATATAACTCAAATAATTTTAAAGTATGTTCTGTATCGCATACGTTGACTTTCATTGAAGATATAATTATAAGAATTCAATTAGTAATTAACTTTGAAATAGTTCATGCTACATTTCTTGTTTTTTTAATTGTTTTCAACGCTTTTCTTGCTATAATTTGCAATGAGCATTTGGTTTAAATATTTTACATTTGTATGTTGTTTACTGACTAATTGATATATATATAAGCAAAAACGCTAATTTAAATTTGCCGTAGCTTTCGTCTCATCCGGAATCGACAAAAAAAAATCAATACCATATGGACTTGCCCTCCGTGCTAAGCGAATATGTACTAATGAATCGACTTACAAACAACATAGAGAAAATATTAAAACTCAGTTACAGAAACGAGGCTATGAAGATCGACATATTGAAACAAAATTGAATAAAGTAGATAGTAAAAAAAGAAGTGACCTATTACATTATAATGAAGATAAAGAAAACACTGAAAGAATCCCCTTGGTACTGACATTTTCCAGAGCGCTCCCGAATGTAGGACAAATAGTACGAAAACACCTACCTGAATTACACACCTCAGATAGAATGAAGGAAATATTCCCGAATCCACCAATTGCAGCATTTAGAAGAGATAATAACCTACAAGACATTCTCGTTCATAAGAAACACAATAAACTATTTTTTAAACAGCCGAATTCCTGTGCTCCTTGCAGATCCAAAAAGTGTGCGATTTGTCCGTACGTTATAGAAGCAGACACATTCATTGGTGTGAACGGGGCCTCGTATAAGGTTCGAAATCAGATCACGTACAAATCTACGAATGTTGTGTATGCAGTTTATTGTAAGCGTTGCGAACGTTATATTTATGTTGGAGAAACAGGGGATACGTTGTACCAAAGACACCTTCTTAATTTATCCAGAATACGAACCAAATACAACGATCCGTTAGCGGCGCATTTTTATACGAACGACCACACAGTAAATGATTTTTCAATAATGGGGCTGGAAAAGCTATACGGGAATGAACAATACAGAAAAACAATAGAAAATTTGTGGAAAAATGAATTAAGAACCTATATATAGACCGTATGGAGTTAATACAAAAGAATAACGCGGCAGACGGCAACCAACGCCACGGCGGGCGTCGTTCATTGACGTTGCGTCACTTCCATTGTTTTGTTTGATATATTTGTATGTGAAATAAATGCTGCTGAAGAAGGCCGCAAGGCCGAAAGCTACGGCAAATTTAAATTAGCGTTTTTGCTTATATACGGCAAGTTAGAGATTTTACTCTTATATATATATATATATATATATATTTATTTATTTATTTATTTTTTTTTTTTTTTTAAAAAGGATTGTTTAACAATGCTCTTTGAAATAAAAGAATACGGTTAAATTGTTTTAACAATTTTGATTGAGTCGTGGCGTTACTTGTTTTTATTCAAATATTTAATTAATAGTATAAAGTTGTGCAACACTTCAAAATTGAAAATATTGCCGCATGTTCAAGGACAGCAGCAGGACGTTACCAACAACGCCTTTCAGCAGAAGTCTAAGAAAATATCCTCATTTCAATATGCAAATATTGAAATTTGAAACATATAAGCTCTTGCAGATTCTACGTTTACTATTTGATGACTTGTTATTTAGTGTGCAGCCTCAAAACCTTCAAGGCAAGACCTCCACCACAAGGGTTATGACCATGTCTATAGCAACGCGCCGGTTAATAGCATGCCTGTTAAATGATAGTGCTACCTCTTTCAGAGGTATACGGTAAATCGCTCTATCGCTACTTCCGAGCGAGTGCATGTCGGTAACATCAAGTTTCAAGTGTTTTTATTTTTTATATATTTTGTAAACTCTTCACCAAATATCGAAAAAAGGAGAATGCTGTGCAATGTAGATTTGAATTACAGTTTCCAGAAAACGTAAAGTTGTTATGAAACGGTCCATTTCAACACTGAATTTGCTAACTGGGAAACGCCGCCACAACTACATTTCAAACACAATTATAACCACTTTACGTTTTCTGGAAACTGTAATCAAATCTTCATCACATAGCATTCTCCGATTTTCGATATTTGGTGTCTTGTACCCACGTTGATTTGTTTATTTCAATTTATTTGTAAATTTACCTTAACGTCACCGTATCTTCAAACTCACCTCTGTATACATATATCTTGTAAAAGAAAAGTGCATTTTTATCTTTTTTATTATCATCTTCAATTGTTCATCACTAAGGTGGCCAAATTTGATAAATTCCCTGAATGAGAAAATAACTCTTGTGCAATACCAATTCAATGTGTCATCTCATTATTGTTGTATTTTGTGCAAAAACAACCTAAGTGCACAAGAGCCTTGAAATTATTGATGAATAAACAGTTGTAAATAACTAACACCTACATATTTGTTTGTTGTTTTATTTAAGCAATATTATGTTGTAATGATACATGTTTGTCTGGAGGAACTGAAAACATTTAGCGCTAAATTCCAACTATAACGTAAAAGTGAACAAAATAGTCTTTTATTACATGTTTTGCAGTAGATTACTGAATTATAACGGTTAATTATATTCTGATAATTTCACAGTAATGATTACCAAATATAATTTCACAGTAGCCGAACTATATTTGGCGTAAAAATAAAATATTTATCATTAATGAATGTTTTTTTTCAGCGGAAATGTAGTCAATCATAATAACGAATGTACGTGATAACTGTAGTTCGTAAATATTTACGAACGTTGTGCTGAAAAACATCTAAAATCTAAAAATAATCATGGAATTATATTTTGCTTCAACATTGTGACGTCATTATTTGATGACGTCATGAAGATAAGAGCATGACGTTACGCGGCAAAAATCAGTAAAATGGTGAAAAAATCGTTAAAAAATCATGAAATAAACAGAAAATTTGTTTGTTTTACATGTAAGATCAAATAATATTTCACTCGTGAACCCCAGCTATTATATTTTCACTCGTGGCTACGCCACTCGTGGAAAATATTGCATCTGGTGTTCACTCGGTGAAATATTTTTCGATCTTACACTGAAACAAACAAATATCCTCTATATATTTTGTGTTTAAAGACAAAATTCAAATTGTCATCATAAAGGAGTTGTATTTATAAAATTTGTGTAAAGGAATATTAAGTTTTACAAATATATTTTCTTCGTTTTAAATCTATTATAAATAAAATAAGAATTAATGGGTCTTCGCATAACATAGAATTATTCTTCTAAAGCCACTTATTTTTTACATAAGAAAAGATATAAAAGATATCCAACTTATTGATTAATGTCATATTAACATTGCTAGTCATCATACAGTCATTTCAAAACTTGTATTGTCCCTCGGAATTGGTCTAACGTGAAAAAAAATAAGATTTGCAGATTTCAAAAAAAAATTAATGAGCCTTTTGTATTTGATGACATTGTCTTGCTTTTTATGTTTAATCTAATATACTGACTTGCATATTTTTTCTCACATTTTTATTTTTTGTTTTTACTGATTTGTTTGCTTTCTTTAATGTGCAGTTTAATTTGCTGCTAGCAACTCTTGCATTCTTACTTCTAAATTCTATTTTATCCCGGATTAGTTTTTTTTAAGTCAAGCTAGTTGTCTGTCATATCACCTTGTTTTCTCGTCGACTTATTTTGCTTTATTTGTGCTTGATTATAAGCTATTGTCTGTTACGCTTACACCGTCCGGCGCTTTTACACAAACACACATTTTTTTGCATTAATTTTCTGCCTTTCACTATTTGACAATCACTATTTCCTGATTTGTTTACACATATTTAATTCAATTTTATACGTTTTGTTAAATTTGCATCGCTAAGTATGCTAAGCTGATACTCTCATCGGAACAAAGTAATTCATCATTTTTAATAGACTGAAAAATGACATTAGTAAATATCAAACAGCACCGATCATTAGGTCGCATGGTGGGTAGATTCCGTCGCCGCTAGCAAGCCGAGGGTTAAGTGATAATATATATGTTACTGTACACTCAGGGTTTATTCAGATTTTGAAAAGTCCTAATAATAACTAGTTCTTATTGTACAAATAGGCTGTCTTGGTGAAACCTTTTATTGAATCGGCAACTGTCAGACAACTGGCACTATACATAGCAACAAATGATCTGTAATGGCATTTATTTGTATACAATATTTATCAGAAATTATTTTTTTTGTAAATTAAAGGGCATACAATTAAAAACAGAAGCACAGTTTCTTTATTCAGAAATACTTTTAGCTTTGGAACATATAATAGATGACTGATTTTCTATTCTCGGTGGTTTTAAAGAAACATGTTATACGACGACTGGTGGAGGGAAACCTCACCTGCCCTTCGTGCGTTTTTTACAAGCTTTGATTGGCACCTGAGTAGAGTAGAACGACTGACCTTCAAAAAGTTAGTTCGATAGCTTCCTTACATGACATAATCCAAAGGTTCTGAGGGGATTAGTACCAATAGCCAAAAGCAAAATTGCTTTGTAAACTGCGATTTTAGACGTTCGACCACGGGGACCAACTCATATATTTGTATTAATCTATTAAAATGAAATAGATTGAACATCCTTTACTCAGATCCCTATTTGCTTTTCACCACCAGACATCTTTTTAACAATATGAAAGTAAATACCACAGACTGAAAGCACGCTGAATGACGTATAATTCTGATAAAAGGATATTACATATACATTAAACCAATCGTTCATCCTTAAATACATCTTTAATTTTTAAATAGCATGTTTTAAATAAACATTTTGTAAATTTATGTTTAATGTATATAAAGAACACGTTATGAAATCTAGTTTATTTCTTTAATTTTTTTGACAACTTATTCGTTTGCATTATACTTTTGAAGAAAAGAACACACAATGATATGCTTTATTTAGATACCAGAATCAAGAGAGTTCTTAAATATGTCCGGCTTTGCTTTATCCTTGTCAAATACAAAGCGCAAGAAATTGGCAACTACCACCGCTGGAGGAATCTCTCCATTTTCATCTGGAAAGGAGAAGAATAATTCTTCATCTTTAGCTGTGTTGTTGTGTCCCATAGCAAACAAGAGGGTTAGTACTTCGTCATTAGACAGTAAGTTGTTCCCATTACAGTCTATAAATCTGCTCCACTCAGACATATACATGCGAATCAAATTATAGAAAGCAGCATCATTTGTTTCAAACTGTTGCTTCACTGTTCCTACAAATTCAGCTTGAGAGATTACCGTCTTGTTGAATAAATGGACCGCCTTCCATAGTTGAACCATTGTTTCCAATGAAGTTTTCCGTCCTCCATATCTTGAACAATCATTACCCTTGTAAAATGTCCTTTTGAAAATGTAAACTATAGTGTTTTTTAATTTAATACAGTAATACACGTTTTACAGTATTATATATTATTTATATTATTGCATAGGCTACATTATGTTTTAAGCAAAATTATTCATGACAAAACATTTGACAAATTTGATTTTTTTACTCTTTATTTTTATTTTATTTTATTTATTTTTTATTATTTTTTTTTCATCTCTTTTTTTCTTCATTTGTTTCTATAAAAACAATATAACAATACTAAGGGGAATGTTTCCTAATAAAAAATATAACTTCTTTAAGTATATTGAATTTGAATACCGTCAACGACTTTTTCACATAAAGATTGACTAGAAAACTTAGCATAAGTACTTACTTTCGTCACTTCAAAGGAAATTCTGATTATTGAATCATTTGTTGTGTTATGCTATCATTACAGACCCAGATCATTTATAGGTATCTTGCGCATAAGATCAGATTATTTTGCATTTGATCTTAATTAGCTTCCAAATGATGCAATGCATATGTAAATAAACATACTCAAAGTGTTTAGGGTCACCCACTGATATCACTCCGTCATGATTGATGTCACAAAATGTGTACCACTTTTTCCACTTCTCAATAAGGTATCTGTTCGCCTGAAAACATGAAGTCATGAACATATTTTAAAATATAGAAAGTCAAAAACGTCTCAGATCTAGCACTTGTTATTATGTTTTACTGATATGCAACCGAGTACCATAGACTAGAAAGCAACCTTTTTCGCTAAGGTTTATTTAACAAATTGCTTTCAATGATACGTTTAATCGACTGTTTTAATTAATTCGATACAAAATTGATGTAATAAAAACATGATTTCTGAAAAATATTTGCAGACCATATTTGCATTGCAACATTACCTTTACATCCTTTCATAGTAGACTGATTATAACTGCATTGTAATAAACATATTAAACTGAAATAAATAGTGGATCTTCAATCTAACATTTAGTTGAAACAATCATTAATTAAGATTCCCAGAGCAGCATTCATTATACAATGAGTTAATAATGTGTAGTTTGTAATTCGATAAAGTAACAAATATATATCTACCTTTCTTGGGGTTGGTTCGGCACTGGTTGTTACCAGAGCGGCTACAAGTAAGAAATTGAAAAAAACAAATAAAGAACAAAAATTCAATAATGTCTTTTCTATAATACAATAACATGCACTTATTATCATTATTTTTATAATTTGTTAACTTTCTTTAAAAGCATTCTCAAAATCCACAAATAACATTGCAACCTTTTTTCTGATTTGTTATGAATACAAAAAAAACTAAAAGAAATCATATAATCATAAATCGTTATAATTCAAAAAAATACCAAAAACCTAGATTCTAAAATCGATCTTTAAACTCTTTTTCAGCAAATAGTTCAAATTTTAAACATGAATGGTAAATTTTAAGAAACACTGTTATTCGTGAAGAAAATAAAAAAGTTACCATATAAACTCAAAGCTATAACGATATGAACCACTAGATGTACCATCATCCTCATGCAGTCGATGCTCCTAGTAAATGATTTGCACAAAAGAACAGTAGTCCAAAATATACGCTTGAAATTCGAGTGACACTTTTGAAATATTGCAGCTGGAAAATATTTTACATTTTAGATCAAAAGACTCTTAAATCTGACAAAATACGTTTCTTCTTAACTCGCACCATACATGACGCATAATCTTTGTTTATCTACATTTGCGAGTGATGTTGATAGAACGATACCACTCAATACAACACTCCTTTTACAAATAAAAAAGTGAATCTTCAAACGATCAAAATATACATATCATTAAACTGTTTTGGAATTAGCTTTATCTTTTAGCAGCTGCTACAATTCGGATTTTAGATAATCTATCCAGCTCCTGAAAAGGGGAGTCGGTGGTTCTACTCGTAACTAAAATAATACGCATGATTTGGTACCTGGGGTTTTTGCCGTCTACTAAAGCTTGAAAGTCACCCTGTGACATTAATTGTACTTAGCAGCTGTATGACCACATATCACAAAATTACCGAAAAGAATTTTATGTTGTTTCTGTAATTGACCATTTTCTCATTGGATACAATGAATGACTTACATGCACAATTTATAAATGATTATACTTTGCATTAAACATATTGTCATTTTAAGTAGCATCTTATACATATTGATAGAAAACAACAAATATTGATGTTTTCAGACATTGGAAAATGAGGAATGTTTTTAAGATGAATGCTATATCTTTTTACAACAGTAAATATACAATATATCTGGTAGTTATGTCGACCTGTAAAAGAAAGAAATGTTACTATGAAGTTTGCATTCATACAAGATAATTCATTATGTCCGTTACTATTTTGCCGTAACGGTTATACTTATGAAATGTACTTGTCAATGAAAGTTATAATCGATAAAAATGCAATCAAGTTTAACTCAATACAAACTATGAACAAATTAACTTAAATGGCTCACTTCAATGTGAAGTTTTACAATATATGCTCAAGATGACGTCCACTCTGTTGCAAGATAACGTCCAAACGTTTCTTAAAGTTACCGACAACAGTGTTGCATTGAAATGTCTTCAATTTAAAGCTCGACTGAAATGTTAAACTTTTCGGTGGTTAATGATAAGGAAGAAAGTCAGGCTTATGTCAGAAGAGTGAGTGGAGCCACATATTAAAAACTTAGTTTTTTTAGCCAGGTGTTTTTTTTAGCATGAATTAATTCCCCTGAAACGTCTGTTAAACTCTGTACATTGTTCTCGTTAACGCAGGCACATGTTTCTTCTTTAAGTTGTATAGTTAGAGAGCATTGTTAATTGTCTCAACAACAATAATTCCTGACGACCACAAAGCTGTCCAAATAGTAAATGGTATTTTAACTGCAACTTATTAACCGACGATTTGGTATTTTAACCGAGCTTTTAAATTAATTGAATTTCGTCAATACAAACAACTTTTAACCCTCCGCTATAACTTTCCGATCTTTCATCCAATTGGCGAAAGCAACTCACCTACTAAAATCAGAAGCTTTTATGTGTTTTTACACTGTGAAGTGATGTGAAGTGATAATTTTTAATTTAACCTCAGCATCATGTAGAAACTAGAAATAAAATACTAGGTTTGTTAGTTATGCTTCCTTATAGTATACGTTTAGACTTCTCTGGTGTTTCTTCAAAGACGGACTTTACCTGCTTGATGTTCACCGAACCTGACTGCTGTCACCGGGCGATGATAACATGTCGTTCTACTCTTTTTATTTTTTAACACTTTCGTATGCTGGCATCTTGTTAAGTGTATCAACTTCATGATATCGTGAAATATTGTATGACTGATACATTATGCACTGTTACTACCTTTGGTTATCTTTTTTGTTGGCAACGCAATTTTAAAAATATGACTCGGGATGAGAACGTCCTTTTAGGAAATTATTATGACTTATTAAACATCTTTACTATTTCTATTTTTTCTGTGGGCAACGGAACCTTTAAACGACTTCACATGATTTGATGACCTCGTTTATGATGTGATGAAGTGAAAGTTTTTTTCTCGTTTCTCGTATACGATACGTGAAACTTCATTCAATATCATTTAGATATCTACATGTTTAAAACTTGAATGTGTCATTTATTACATGCACATTTTATACTAGCCTGTGACAGATAAAATAAAATACTTTAAATCTCACTAATGATATAATACATTTGACGCATGTGTTGTATTCTTTGATATAACTTTCTTTCAGAGTTTAGCTTGACAATGTCAAATTGATCATTTTATGTAGCTGTATATTATTATATCTGAAAGAACATCAATCTTTCCTACTGTAACAATATTTTGTTTATTATCATTGGCAGTCGGACTTTGCTTTTAAAATTAAATAGCTACATTCATTTTAACTTTAAAAAATATATGCTGCACCAAAATATCGTTCAAAATGTATGTAAATTTGCTGTGCATTTCTGTGCAAAGAGGAAATGGAATACGTTTATAATGGTTTAAATTCAGCTACATAGACAAACCCGGCGCACACCGACGTCATGACATCATTAGCACACGCTTCTCATTGTTGTTGTTTTTCTTGGCGGGGGGGGGGGGGTAGGGGAATAATTTGTCCTTGATTTCCTATGCATTTCCGATGACGGGCGACCCATTTATCATAGTTACATGTTTATAAATCAGTACTTTTTCTAAGTGCATGATAGTCGTGATAGTTATTTCAAATAGGAAAACTACGTTTTTTATTCTAGATTCTATTTTTGAGTTAATATGATAATGTAATACAGAAAATTATATGCACTAAAACTAGCTCTTATATAAGATATAGGTGAAGTTGACAGTTCGGAAAGTTAAGTCTTTACCTCTTTTTGTTCTGCGATTTGAATCCCAAGAATCTGTATAGCATGATAGCGTGTTGGTTGTAAAGATTAAAATATTGAAATAATTTATATGCTCTTAACAACATGAATGTTTATATGCTGATACTGCAATAGGCAATTATAATGATTTTTCTTTAGTAAATTGAATTTATTTCTTCAGTATAGCAATAATGATTTAAACACCGGAATCCACTGCATTTTTGTAAATGTCCATTTTAGACTTATCGTTCTCAGTTGCAAAGCGAATGAAATTACCAATGACAACTTCTATTGCAACCCGCCCGTTCATTGGCTGAAATGTGTAGAAAAAATTCTCGTCTTTGGTCACATTATTATGTCTCTGAGCAACAAAATTCAAAACGAGTTCATGTTCCGAAAGGAATGTATCTTCATCCAAATCTATCGCTTTGCACCATTCTGATATATATGTACCATTTCAATGAAGGCCGTTTTGTTTGATTCATATCTTTGCGTCATCATGTCTATAAAATCATCTCCAGACAGTTCTGTCTTGTAATCGAAAAGAAAAGTCTTCCATAGACGATTCATTGTAGTTATTAACATCTGCAATTGGTCATCACTGAGGTAACCAAGACCTTTGTAAAAGTCCCTGTAAGAAAATATCTTAAGCTGATAACTCTAGTTCAATATGAATTCTCTCTGTTATCTAATTATTATTTTGATGTTGTTTTAGTGCGTATAACGGTAAATCACTTGTTTATTATCTGCAAAAACACCGTGAATAGAAACTTTTCGTAGTGTTGCACTTGATATCATTATTATAATTAGTTTAAGGAATATGAATGTAGTAAAAAATAATGATATTTGTATTTGGCAATTTGACATTGTATGACTTAAAGGAACGGTACTATTAATTATTGAATTGTCGTCTTATCTAACTCATATTTAGTTGAACTAACACAAATAATTTAGGATCGTCCTTTGTAAGTACTCCATCTTTATTTGTATCACAAAATGTATGCCACTGTCCCCACTTTTTCGATAAGATAACGGTTCGCCTATGAAAGTATATAGAAAGTACATTATATTTATTTAATGTTCCCTGTCCAATCATAAGTTAATATACATACATTTATTATGATACTGTTATAACAGTAAAAATGAAGTTAAAGAACGAATTCTGTGCATTTCTGCATTTTATACAAGATTTTATAATTGGTACAATATGGCAGAAGATGTTTTAAAAAGAATAATTATAAGAGTTATTAAAATTGTATGTAATGGAAACCATATCAAAAAAGATACTGGCAGATGGTTGTATTATCTGGAAAATACCTTGTTTGACTCGTTTCCACCAGGGCTACAAACAACGACTGCTGAAAACAGAAAATAACTACGAAAAAAGAGACGGAAATCCATGGAATTCATAGTTTTTGTCACAAGTTTCCATTTTGTTCCATAATTATAGTTATTTTATTCCGATTTGTATGTGTGTAAGGATAGATAATAGCTTTACATATCAAAAATCAAAAATGGATGAGGAGTTGCCTTTAAGGATGAAGGTATCAGAACTAATTGCAGCCACCGTTTATACATGTGTGTTAGAAAGAGTCGATCACATTGGATCGAATTAATGGAATCAATTCATCTCTAATCTAAAGCAGGTGAAGCTGTTTTGAACGCTAATGTTGCTTGAAGACTGTAACACCAACGTTAGTCAAAATCATCATGTGTTAGTACACCGTAAGACCAAACAAAACAAACAGTCTAACATATCCAAAACAACATAAGAAATAGAAATATAATATTAAATTTCCTTATTCAGCACTGCAATCAAATGTTTGGAATTCAAATTTCTTTTTTTATGACCTGAATGTATTTATTTAGCAATTCCTATTCAATTTGAGCAACAAATTATATGTTTTATATGTTATATGGTAATCTGTTTTTCAATACAATATGTCCTCATACCTTCTCATATTTTCAGTTGTTTTCTGCTAAATTACAAATAATAACCGATTGTTGGATTCAATATCTTTGTAAAGTTACAAAATATTTTATTTTACAAAGTAATTTGTAAAAAAAACACAAGGAAAAGAACATGCATGCTTTTAGACAAAGAATTATTTATCTATTTTACAATGATCGTCAATCAGATCGCAGCTTGTTTTATATTATATACACTAATTCAAAATCCTTGTTTAATTGATTATCAAAACAATCATTGAATGAAAACCAGCAGTTATTGTGAAATAATTTGCAATACTTACCATTAAAACAGAAAGCAAAAATTACAGTAACCGTTAAATACGCCATTCTCTTCATAGAGCGCTGTTTTCCACAAATACATGAACGAAGGTATACTTACCCAATATATACTAAATGGTCGTAAAAGTTCTACAACATAATATTGTCGTATATCAGATTAAAGACCCAGAACGTTTCAAAGTTTGTTCAGATACATTCATATTATGTATACCATGCGAATCGATTGTTTGCAATAGGGAAGCTGAATGTACCTTTAGGTGTCTTTAAAACAATATTATTTTAATATTTTATCACTAATCTAACGCATGTTACGTTAAACAATGTCAATATTTTAACATATTTCTACATATAAAGCTTTTATACAAGTATAAGCATTTCCAAAATGATAGGAATAGCCGTTCAGCCGGTTATTCATAAAAACTATTTTGTTCGTGGAACAGACACCTTCGTGGATAATAGGGCTTAAGGTGTGGACGGTAGTTTGCACTTAACATTACCGTCCATGAACAGGTTCAATCAAACCGAGACTGCAACATTTTCAATTATACCGTGTTGGTCTTTCTTTAGGGATTGTTATTTTCACTATTTTATGTTTCTTCTTTTAAGGGAAATATTCCATGTGTTTTTATACCGTTGCAACCTACATGTTGCTTTCCAGCTTTGTACATGAAGCTAGTTACCCATAGGCGCCCCCTTTAATTTCTCCGTTTCGGTGTTCGGGTATTAAAATTGTTAATTGTACACTTTGCCATATATGAACGTAATGTATATTTTAAAAGGACGTTAAATAATGAAATATCTTTTTTTCTGTTTAATGTGTCTTTTGTCCCTTTATCTTTATGTATGCATAATTTATCAAACAGCTGTTTGATAATATACCTTAATGTTATTTGTTTGTGCCACTCTATAGTTACATTGGATAATTTAAAGCTTCAGATTGTTGTTTTAAATGCCTTTGTTTTTCCAGATTGTATATGAGTATAATCCATAATTTCGAAGACCGTAATATTTACTTCAATAGTCATAATCGTTCATGCTAGTCATTTACAAACATTGTTTATAGAAAATATCGTTTTGCCCTTTAATTAAATACATACACACGCATGCACGCATGTAGGCAAACAAAAAATGTGAACATCCGTTTAAAATTTCTCAATGACACGTGTATATTCGTCATGTTTCTACAGAAAGACATAAGGATTCACTTCAAATATTTAGAAATCAATAAATAATAAATAGAGAGCAATATTGTTTAAAAAAAGAACTTTATAAAGATTACAAAACAGATAACACTTTTGCCGCAAATGATTTGAATACATTGTGGACACGCGTTAATATATTTCTGGATGATTGTGCTTTTCGTGTTGCGTCTACAGAGTAGTGGCGACAGATAGGGATCACTTCTCCGTCGTTTGTCTATCTGTCCATCTGTATGTCCGTCTGGACTACTCCTCAAAACCTACTGGTACAATTTCATCCAAATTTTACAGGAATTATCAGTAAGAATATTAGTTGTGCATTACGTAGGCATTTTCCAGTTAAATGTTTTTTGTCAGAGTTTTTGCCATTTAATGATTTTAGTTTTTGAAATTTGTCTGGACTACTTCTCTTATACCACTAGCGTAATTTCAATGATACTTTAAAGGATCTATCGGTAGCTCAAGTTCTTGCGCATATTACACGCTTTTTGCCCTGTTAATGGTTTTCATTTTCATTTGTCTCCTGCAATATGCTTTTGCTATGATAAGGCGACACATGTGATCACTGATATTTCTTGTTTTTACAATAACGAAGCAAACTTTAACTCGTATTCTGTAAAGGTGTTTGAATTAGAACCCAAAATTCCAAATAAAGACAAACACGATAGTAAGATAATTTTAGTTTCATGAAAAATCGCATGTGTATATTCGACATGTGGCTGAATGGTTGCCTTTATCGGTTGATGCATTATACTAATTACCAGTGTTTATCCCTGTGATATTGTAAGAGGCGACTAAATGGGTTCAAATTACTGGAATGCATGCATCTGTTAGCTTAAACAGGTGAGGATTTTGTGACCTCAGATGTTGGTTTGAAGTTTGTAACACCCTGGGTTTGCCGAAATCACCTGTTTCGGTGCGATATGACCTGTAATGTGTTGATGCGCCCTAAAATCAAACAAATAAATAAACCATGCGTGTATTCATATTACAACACAGCCAGTATTTGCTTCTATTTAAAAGAATATTTTTAACAAACTTACATGTACTAATTACAATGTTCAAAGCAATGCTTGACTATAGTTGAGACTGTTAATGCCACATGTTTAACAAACTCTTTATGTTTAATATATGTAAGCAGCATTCATTTACATGTTTACTCAATTTGATATTCGTCATGTATGTTTCTGTTTCAGTTAAACTGCTATATTTTACCAGGTGTGTTACACGTAATAACCATCACACATGTGAGCAATATGTTACATAATGAGGTTTTTAATTAGTGTACGAAAACAAAGTATAAAGCACAATACAATAAAGCAAGATGTCCTTTTGTTAATAGTGACTTTACACTTGAGAGAAGATAAAAGCAATTGTATGTTTTTATGTTTACAAAGGACGGTGGAAAATACTGGCTACTCCCTAGAATACTGGTACATCTTGTTCTCTACATTGCACATGGGTGTAATCAAACGGAGACAAACAAAATCCCAAGGGACAAAAAAATTACTTATTTAAGTTTATACATGTTAACTTTTATTTGAGCTTTTGTTTGCTTGTTTGGTTTGGTTTAATGACGACACGGAGACATTACTGGTCATTCCGTGTCGGACAAGTAGGCCTAAATGAGCTGATACAACTGTGTCACCTTAATTTTAGAATGCAAGTTAAATACCGTTAAGAGTTCAGGGGTTAGGATGGAATTGAGGCAAACCAATCTCAATATCACGAAAATTGCAAGATAATGGCATTCACGTAGGAAATGTTGCATAATAAATTATTCATATCAAGCTCTATAAGATGCAGCATCGACACCAATCCAAAGGTCAGAATGTGTAATTCTAGCATGTAAAATTATACATATAAGAAGAATAGCTTTAGTTTGATTCAATCAGTCACTTCCGTAGAAATAAAGCATAAATACCCTGTTTAACTTTCCAACAATCAATTTAACTCAATGGGCTTTTATCGGTTTTGCAAGGAAATGTTTGGTTTGAAACGGCTCCAAAGCTGGTTTTGTGCCATTGAATATTTTGAAAAGTGATGAGTGGTGCCTTCTGTGAAATTCATATTTTGGTTTTTACGTCTAGTTTTCTGAATAAAAGATAAACGATAAAGCCAATTGTATATTGGTAAATCATATATTTCATAGACGTTTGTATACATTAAACATGATTTTTTTGCATTTATTGTATGCTGTACTTTTGAGGAAAATATCAATATATTCAAACAACCTCTCAAAACAAGTTTCCAACAAGTAAACATCCACATTGCTGTAACCGAACAAGTTAGTTTTTCCACTAGTAAAGAACAAAACCAGTCTTCCTTTGCTCTTCCGTGCATGCTTCACAATTTTTACTTAATAACCTAAATTTTTCATCTTGATATTTAAAAAAAAACACTTTAGGTTAAGTGTATTGGTAAGGCAATGGTGGTTTCCTTATATCGCTTTTCTTTCGTTAGTGACATTTCTTAATGCTAATTCGTCTCTGTTTCTTAACAAAATGAATTGTGGGATGGGTCTTTAAACACGTTTATTTTAAATACATAAAATATTCATGCAACACATTAACATATAGAGCTAGTATATAAACGATTCGTTCATAGTTACAATTTTAACAAAGAACATCGTAAGATGAATTGCATAATTTATGCCGTATTGTTTCTGTGTTTCTACGGTAAGTTACAGTTACATTTTATAAATTCTTCTTCTTCCACTACTTTTACTTCTTCTTTCTCTTCTGTTTCTTCGTTTTTCTTCTTCTTCTTCTTCTTCTTCTTCTTCTTCTTCTGACAGTAGAAGAATCATTTATATGACGATTTTTAAATACTTAAATTCAACAAATAATACTAAAATTAGAGTAAATGAAAATGTTTGTTTTTAAGGACAAGTTTCGGTTTATTTTATTTATTTATCTTTATTTTTTACATTTTAGTTTTAATTCCCTTATGTGCATGTTTGTCTATTGTGGGGTGCCATTAGTTCTAAATTTAATCTTCTTGACTTTAACGCACATTGAATTTGATTTTCAAGCGTATTTAAAAACTTAAATATTCTATTATTCATTGATATCATAATTAGTATAATTGCTTTATTTTATATCATGTTAAAATTAAGTCACGTTTTCATGGACTTCAGTGATTTATGCTAGTGTTGGGATGCAAATATTATATAAGAGAAAAATCTTAACAATCTCGCGTTCAAGAATATTAATAATGCTATTCACCATCTTTATTATCTTATACATTTTCAATTCGAAATCAACAAAAAACTGTTAAATAAATCTTAATAAGAAACTTTTATTTAAAATGGACATATAACTGCAGAACAAATAAATATGTCATTGTAACGTTTCTGTCGCCATAAATTACAATTAGAAATTTAAAACGCGCCCCACCACTGATGCATTAGCATTAATGTCATGAAAGGTTGTTCTTCGACAACATTATTTCTACATTTTCTTTGCTAGCCAATGTGGTTACTGTCGAGGCCGAACCAGAACAAATCAAGGTAATTATATATTGTTCTAAGTTGATAGTTCTGAGTTGATAGTGAATACATAATAAATTGTTATCCCTCAAAAATGAGTCTCTGTCCACATGATGTTAGTGATTCCATAGAGAAGTTCTGAAGAGCAATATGATTATACGTTAAAATGATTTAAACACTGATATAGTTTTAGCAATTCAATGCATATATATTTTTCCTAAAAGTACTAACCACATCATCGTTATCATGAAAGTTGTGTAGGAGCATGATAAGTGTAACCAGTTTGACCATAAACAAAGTGTTGAATTCTTGTCTACAGTAGTTGCGTATGAGGTAAACATTTACAAAAAAAATGGGAAAAAATCGACTTAACCTATTAGTTCGTCATCTAATGGAATCAAATGATAAACGTTTGCCACAAGCAATAGAGATAGGTCAGTCTGCACATCCATGCTGTTCCAAAATGTTTCTTCTCTTTGGCAACATAGATATCACTGATACAGATAATGCCGTTACTTTCAAACATGTTCATATTCACATATCCGAAACACAACGATTTATCTGATCTAATGACTAGATCAATTTTTCGACATAATTATGTTTTTGTTAGCTACAACATTACATTTTAACTATACTTTCAGTCATTTTCATTGTTATACAGTTTCCAACTTTTTTACACATTTTCGAATCTATTTCCAATATATTTATATTCCCGATTTGCCATACATTTTGATATAGTAGAAAACTCGACACATTATGAAAATACACTAAAAATGATAAGAATTTTATAAGACTAAGCCTTCCGTTATAACCATTTTCTTGAATATAAAAATGTTTTATTTGTATAGTAATTGTTTGTATATTTTTATGTAAATATTCAGGGAATAATCATGTTTATACTAATGTTTGTAGTTATTTTGTTATGTTTCATTTCATGATTCAGCATAAAACGAATTACTGAATTTATGTTTTAAAATTATCGTCTCCAATATTTAGGCGAGTAGTTACCTTATCGAGAAGTGGAAGCAGTGGTATAAACTAAACGATTTTAACCATGACGGAATGCTATCACTTGCTGATCCTGTATTGTTTGAGTAAGTTGCACAATAATTAATATTTAATTAAAGCGATTTTTTGCAGCGGATGTCGCAAAGCCGCATCTCCGCGCTATCTATTTAAATTTTATGATCTAATAATTACCATCCATCGAAAACTGTTAATGGATAATAAAGTTTTCATGAATTGTGTAACAGGTCAATTATATTTGAAATTTCTTGTCATTAATATGCCTAAAAGATATGTATAAGGCTAATTGTAGAAGACAAGTTTTTTGCTATTAATCTATTGTTTGAAGAAATATTTTGTCATATTGAAGTTATAGAATGTTTGACAGTATTCCTTCACTTCTTTTAGTTTTGTAAACAGTATATCTATGATCCAAAAGGAAAAGTATTCAGAGTGACACTTATATGAAAGATGATTAAATGAACCACCAAACTTAATAACATACTTTTTCTGACAGGAATTATTTCAAAGGTCTTGACTACATAAGTGATCAACAACTGAAAAATATGACTAAAAGAATGGACTGGATATGGAACACGATTGTTCTAAATAATAACACTGACATTTCTAAAGATGACTTTGTAGACATGATGTCACAAAGATATGAATCCGACAAAATTGCCTTCTTTGAATTAGTGCGCATGTACATAACAGAATGGTGCGGCGTGATAGACTTAAACAAGGACAATTCACTTTCAAAAAGTGAATTACTGATGGACATGGTTGCCGGAGGACACAATGATATAACGAAAGACGAGGACTTATTCTATAGCTTTCAACCTAGAAACGATCAGATTCCTGTCCATAAGATGATCACGAGCTTTATTCGTTTTGCAACAGAGGACGTTGAGTCAAAATCCGATATTTTCAAAAACGCATTAGATTCTGGAGTTTAGATAACATTTGTTATTTCACTGATCTTTTCTTTTAGTTTTCATTGAAAGATTAAAAGCAAACATGTTTTTTTTATTATTGTTTAAACGCACATATAATAATAATTTTCACATTTATCTACGTCATCATCATATTTAGCGTAAGGGAGACGATACTTAAACTTTGTCTTAGCGGCAACGTAATATACCTACGTGACCAGAGTAGACCAACCCTCACATCTAGTTGCGATGCTTGCTCTCCAGAGATAGAAAGATAGAAGTTAATTAGTTTAAACTTTATTTATTCAATAAATTGTACATAAATGACATTTACAAACATTGCACAACAATGTAATTCAGACTGGATTGGAAAACAAGTAAAACAATACTTATATCAATTCCTCTCCAGTAAAAGTAATTTTCAAGATAAAGATACAAAAATGTTGCGGTTAGATGTAAGCTCTTTGAATGTACAACAAAGAATAAGAGAATAAGTAATAGAAAGAGCACCGAAACACGAGGCTATCTGATATGTACGAGGGGGCGTAGCCCCCGAGTATAAATCAGATTCCCGAGTGTTTTGGTGTTCTTTCTCTTTTGTATCATAGTCAAACATAAAAGCACGTTCCCTGTTGTCACAATATGAAACCCCGGCAAAAATGAACCAAAGAACGAACATCTGAATATGACATTTCTGTCGCTTTTCCTTTTTCTGCCGTCACAATATGTAAACCCCAGCAAAAATGAGCCAATCAATGGGCATGCTCTGGAGTGCGGGTAACTAATACCCGCACTCCAGTTAACGCACTGTGCATGTATATGTATACGATTTAACCCAGCCACATTTTCAACAGAAAGGTCTCCGAACTATGATACAATTGATTGTTGCATTATCACTATAGAAAAAACTAAGGTATTATATACAATTTATTACAAATTTGTATTATTTGACGGCCTAACGAACAAATTTGTATGTGACATATTTGTTAAAAACGACATAAAGAATATTGTCACTATCCAAACGTCAAATTTATGGTCGAATTTATCACACACGTGTAACCTTATATAAAGTTTCACGTGCACAGCATTAGCGTAGCTCACAAAGAGGATGCTCGTGGTAAACTATTGTTGAGAGTTATGAATGTGTTATTGCACATTCGCTCACGGCAATCGTTAATAATGTTGTAGTGACCGGTTCTTGAAACATTTGATAAGAAATCGATTCTTCAAACCTTGAAAAAATACGTTTATGGTACAGTGATCGATAGCAAACTACCAACCGTCTGTTTGAAAAAACGTTGTTATTCATAAATTATAACAGCTAGTTTCTCAAACTCAATGTCTTCTAGAACAAAACACATGTAAGTCAAGGTATTTAACGCATCTGTACCATGTCAAACATGAAACTCTTAATATAGAACTTGATAGAAATCACAAGAGTTTAACAATTGTTTATTATTTTTCCAAAGTAAGTCCTTGTATGACGTCATAAATACTTTTACATTTCAAGTCTTGTTAATAAAACACCCCGTCCGTGTTTCGTCCTTTTGTCCGCAACTGTTGTTGGAGGGTGCGTTCATTGAATTTCGCCCTTTCTTGTTGATCTCTTTTCTCACGTCATATTGAATTCAATTTTATTATATGTTTTACAAGAATAAAGATAAGATATAAGATAGTTTCTACATGAAGTATTTATAAAACAGTCATCATCCTAGAAAAATATATAATTATGTTTTACAAGAATATAGATAAGATATAAGATAGTTTCTTCATAGAGTATGTATATAACAGTCATCATCCTAGAAAAATATATATGTTTTACAAGAATAAAGATAAGGTATAAGTTAGTTCCTACATTATAGAGTATGTATAAAACAGTCATCATCCTAGAAAAATATATATGTTTTACAAGAATAAAGATAAGGTATAAGTTAGTTTCTACATAGAGTATGTATAAAACAGTCATCATCCTAGAAAAATATATATGTTTTACAAGAATAAAGATAAGGTATAAGTTAGTTTCTACATAGAGTATGTATATAACAGTCATCATCCTAGAAAAATATATATGTTTTACAAGAATAAAGATAAGATATAAGATAGTTTCTACAAAGAGTATGTTTATAAAAGTCATCATCCTAGAAAAATGTATATGTTTTACGATAATAAAGATAAAATATAAGATAGTTTCTACATAGATAATGTATATAACAGTCATCATTATACATTACTATGTTGATTTATTAACAATATAGCCTTATGTGACGTCAGAGTGTAACAAATAGCTACAATACCAAACGAACACATGTACATAATGGGTTTCGAAGTTTACACATTGGATGTATGACTCAAGATTTTATTAAGGCACAAACATAATGTATATTGACAAAAGCAATAATGGCGTGCATACATAATTATTGACATATAAACAAATTAATAAAATATCTAAGCACTAGAAAAGTTTTATAAAATATATAATATCACGGTTATGAAATAAATACTAGAAAATTAGAAATATAATAATATGTTTGAAATCAGTTGGAATTAGCTACCAGCTGTTTCTCTAGCTAAAGTTGCATATGGCAGTTTCAGAGACAGACTTTTAGACAGTTTTTTTTATAACATTCTGTTGTGAGTTATTCATTAACATTTAAACTTTAATGTATTTGGCCAAGACCAGTAGTATTTTATACAAAACTTTTTCTGGATTCTTAGCAATCCTAAAAGAAAAACTTAACAATATTAATCTTACGTAAAACAAGAAGGGGAACTCTCAATAGATCACCATATACGGTCGCATGACATGTTTGTTGCCTAAAACCTTATACTTGCTTCATAATTTATATGTATGGAAAGTATAGACAGCAACCTAAACGTTGCCATGTCCAAATAGCAATATATTGAGTCAACGTTTCCTTATACAATGTGCACTCATTAATATATATTAAGATCTATCGTCAACCGAACAAAATATGATATCAATGTGTCTTTATATGATGTCAATATATCATTAAACGATGTGCATTTTTGAATATATTATGTGGAACCATTCTTATATAAGGTCAAAATGACTATATATTATGACAATCTGTCCTTATATGATGTCAGTCTGTCATTATAAGATGTGAAGTTAAGAATATATTATGTGGAACCATCTTTATATAGAGTCAACAATATATGGTGTCAATGTTTCCTTATTTTATGTCAGTCTGTCAATATACGATGTGCATTTTTCAGTATATTATGTGAAACCATCCGTATATAGAGCCAAAAGACCAGTTTATTAAGAGGAATCATCCTTATATAGAGTCAACTGAGCAATATATGATGTAAATGTGTCATATAATGCAAATCTTTCATTATACGATGTGCATTAATAAATATAGTATGTGGAACTATCTTTATGTAGAGTCATAATAACACTATATTATGTCGATCTGTCTTTATATGATGTCTGTCTTTCATTATATGATGTGCAATTACGAATATATTATGTGGAACTATTCTTATATAGAGTCAAAACAACACTTATTATGAAGAATCGTCTTTATATAGAGTCAACTTAACAATATACGATGTAACTGTGTCCTTATATGATGTCGATCTTTCATTATACGATGTGCTTTAATGACTATATTATGTGTAACCATTCTTATATCGATCAAAACAACACTATAATATGAAGTATCGTCTTTATATACAGTCAACTTAACAATTCGTAAGCAGTTTAGAACTGCCCGGGTTTTCATCAAGTCTTGAGATTTTATCACGTGTACTTCAACTTGGGATATAGACAGTCCCCTCCATGAACGGTGCAAAGTAAAATATAACCCGGTAAATCTAACCCCGTCAGTATAATGACAAAAGCACACGACATAGTGATGTTTGCACTTCATATAAAGCAGCGGTAATTATAATAGATTCACATCGTATAACGAAAGATTGATATTATATATTGATAAGTTGACTCTACATATCATGATGTTATCACATGCTATTATTCATAAATGCACATCGTATTATAATAGATTCACATCGTATAATGAAAGATTGACATAATATATTGATCAGTTGACTCTATATAATGATGTTAATGTCGTAAAGATGATTACACAGGTTAATTAGTCATACATGTTATATTCAAAAAGAATGACAACAAAAAGATCTTACAAGTTCATATTTTTATTTCATAATGTGAACTGTAAAACATGACATTGATTTATGTATATTATGCTGCAAAGTACATGCAGGCTGGCCTGGGTAGTAATAGTATGTCAAAATGATTAACGAAAGTGCTGTGTGTGACTCTAAAATTGCGTGCATGTATATAATTATAAGTTGTCATTATTGCAGGCGGTCATTATATATACTATTCTCAAATGTCCAGTTGGGCAGTTCGAATTTGGTACTTCAGTTGTACACTTGTGTATTTGTATATTAAAAGTATGAAACATCTGTGAATTCTCTCTCCGTTATACGACATTAACACATAATATATTCATAAATGGACATCGTATAATAATGGATTCACATCGTATAATGAAAGATTGACATAATATATTGATACGTTGACTGTATATAATGATGCTACCACATAATATTCATAAATGCACATCGTATAATGATTGGTCGACATCATATAAAGACATATTGACATCATATATTGTTCAGTTGAATTCATATTAGGGTTCAGTTGAATTCATATAAGGATGCATCCACATAATATATTCACGAGTGCACATCGTATAAAGAAAGAGTGACAGAACAACGCATAAGACAGTCAAGGCTTTCCATATTTATGCACTCACTCAATATTCGGTGAATTATGAAAGTCTTTTATTTCAGACTCATAGATAAGAATAGGCAAAGCAGTTTTTTTTTAAGAAACATTCAATGACAAAATTATCAAAAAAGCGAGTTAAATGAAATGAAAGCATTAAAGGCTTGTTTAAACCAAGCTTTTTATGTTTCATTAAAGCTACCGTTCAGGGATATTGTTACACCCAAGTATCCAAAGTTTTTAACAATTTTTAGAAGTTTTTAAATGCAGTCAATTTAATACAAAGCATTTATTCCATTCACAA